AAAAATTAATTACATTTATATAAACATAGAAAGAAGAGAAATTTTTACTCTTCTTAAAATAATAAAACGCTCTTCTGATGCAGTTTATAGTTTAGATAGCACTACGTCGGTAAAGAGCGAAAGGTGAATTCAAAATCAGTGTAAAGCAAATATTTGTAGGTTATACCTACCTACAGATTTTTGTTCTGATCTAAATTTAACTCATTCACCTATTCTGTCTCTGTATATTTTTTTTTTAAATATATAAGTATAATGGTAAAGTTATGTATTTTTTATTCTTATATTTATTTTTTGGTATAGTATTTATTTATTAACTTTCAATACACAGTTCATTACAAGCGATTTAAACAGATCCGTTATACAGAATGAGTACAGATTGAATAAAAAGTCGATCTCGAAACAAAGTGCTCTTTCATTTTCAATCCTTGATTCAATTATACTTCGCCAATTTAAGTGTACGCGAGTATACTGCATCGGGTACTAATGTATTATTCATATTGTGTTTTTGAGATAACAAGCAGCCTCTTAAGTCGATACACATCTAGCGGACTGATTGGAACTCCACTGAGTAGATAGTTTTACTGGCATCTTGGAAAATCTATTATAATTAAAATGTATACACGTCGGTAGCATACTTATGTGCTAAGTTTTTATCTTCTCTACGCCTTCATAGTATGTGCTTAGGAAGTTAACTTTTTAAAATAGTGTGAAGAATTTTAATGAGTCCCATTGAATTCCCATATTGCTTCTTATAAGATCATTTTGACATAGAGATTTTAATTGAAAGTTTCATCATAAGTAAAAACAAGTTTTTTTTGCTATCTGTATGTACCAAAATGGTTCTTTAATTACACAGCGTATCAGCGTCGTAAATTCAAGTGAGATTTTATTTAAATATTAATTACTTTGTGTATTATACTAGTTGTTTTTGTATATTTAAAGTTATTCGCTGACATTAAAAATAAACTGCACGTTTTACGACTACTTATCTAATCTCAACGGAAAATATATTAAAGTAACGTAAGTATTATACATGCCATTATTTAGGACTAAAGATAAAAGTTATAGGTACAAATTTTATTATATTTTTCATTCATAACTTACAGTTTTAAGATGATTAATTTATAAAATTCCATTCCATTCAATGTAAGGTAGTTTTATGAGCCGCTTAATAACGTGCTGGACTCGTATAAACGCATGTAGATTCAAAAAGAAGGGGCGCGGCAGTATAAATGCTCGTTATATACTTTGTAATCGCCGAGGTCGATTCCGGACCACCCAAGCGGTAGCATCGGCACTACACTACACATGTTTAGCTTAATATGTAAAACTCCATATAGCTACATAAACTCGACCTCACCCAATGCCGTTGTAATATGTAATTGCACATTTTCAATTTTAATCATTTTCAATACGCATAAATATTAATTTATCTTGTCCAAGAACTTCACTCAGAATACGTTATAAATAAAATATTGGAAAGTGTGGTCTTATAAATTGTACGGTATTACTTGTTTAATTTGAGACTTGGTCGAAATAATAAAGCATTAAATTTTTGCTTGAGAAGCTTAACGGAATATGAAATTTCTCTTATCTTAAATATTTAACTTAAATAAGTACTAAATAATTAATACATCATTTGATTTTATCTACTTATTTTTTTTATTTGTATACATAATCATAATATGTATAGAAATTGTTGATTTTAATGACTTTCCAGTGGGTGTTAAGATAGTTAAGACATAGTTGCCATACAATTACTTTATAGTGAGTAAATTACATGACATTAGATTATCACTGCTTATCAAGCAGGAACAAGTCCTAGATGCATTAATAACCTGAAAGCGCATGTTCAGCGCAATCGAACTCATTATTTTATCTTAATTCGTCTCATTAAGACTCGCCTCTACGTATCTAATTTACATAATTTTGATCGAAGATATTTAATCAAAGAAAACTGCGCGTGGGCATATAGCTCGTTTGATCAGATTTAATGTAGCCATTCTATTGAAATATATACGAACTAGACACGCTTTTGTTCAAATAGAGCCTTTTGTTCAAATATAACAGTTTTCTAATAACTGCGGTTGTAAAAAATCAATGAATAGCTTTTGTTTTCATCATTAGTGGCTTAACGAGCCACAAGTGTGAACAACCACTTCCCGCGCACCGTGAACCATATGTTTCTCTAAAAAAGGGTACTCCAATTCTAAAGCCGATTCAGTAACACAACAGTCGTAAATCAGAAGGAAAAGTTTTACGAATTAGGAACAATTAAAACATTGAAGCAAACAACAGTTGTTACGAATGTCCCCAGCGATTGCGGGAACATTGAGAATTACGGGCGGTTTACAGGATATAGATCTTAGTCCAAAATTCTTTACGACTAATATAACTTGCGCAATCCTTTTGTCGCTCGACAGGGGGGAGGGGGGGGAAGTTGGACAAGTTTCTTTTGTTAGCGACACGTGTTGCAAAACGGGTTGAGCCTGACACTTGTTCTGAGAGAATCTTGGGAACGACTTGCGTCGATTTCCGTGGAAGTGTCGAGTGCTTTTTTATTTTTGTTATGAAAAAATGAAGAAAGTCTGTAATTTGCACATAAGTATTTATTTTTTATCTGACTTTGCTCGGCTACTAAAGTCTCGTACGCACTCTCGTAATAATAATTCGTCGAAAACATTATTAAGTACATAAAAATATGTATCAGCCGTGATGTTTTTGGATAAATAATAATAAATTTAACTTATCTTCAATATACAGTTGGTATTTATATTTATAACATTTTACATTTGGAAATGTGACATCAATGTCTGAAGGGAGGTACCCTTGCAACTCGACACCGGAAACCGATACGCAGATGATGTACTAGGTTTGGGGCTTACGGACGTATTCAGCGTCATTATATACCTATTAAGGCCTTTACAGATCTTTTTTGCTAGCCACGAGCCCGCCTCTTAATGAAGTCATTTCTGTCAAGTTTATTGCTGTTGTGGCATACCCGAGATTTTGAAGAAATTTACAATGCGCAAATTGACACTGATGTAACATGAGGTTTAATTAGTCACATATGTATGTTGTGAAAAGGATTTTTCTGCTTTAATAGCCCAAAAAGAACCTTTTCATGGCGTGTGTCTTTGCATAAGAACTGGTTTGATTTAAGTTATCAGCTTAGCTTGACATTTGAAAAACATAATTCAACAGTTTTTCTCAATATGTATTAATTAATACAGAAATTATAAGTTTTCCTTAATATTAATTAATACAATATTGAATTCTGAGTTCATTACAAACTAAAATGTTATCTTTTTAAAGATTAGAGGTATTTAAGATTTCAATTTTTACTACATAAATTCAAGAAAGATTTCTATAACATTAATTGAAAAAGTTTCCTAAACAACAGGTTAGGAGGTTTTAGGTATAAAGAAAAGTAAAGGTCGCTATTTACGTGGCGCCCTCAGACTCTTAAGGCTTAGTCAATTAGCGTCACACAATTAAGTACACTCTACTACGGAAATAGTAAATAATGAATTAGGTAAATTTATTTTAAATATGTTCCTATTGAATATTCTAGAAAATAGAAACTAATATAACGGACATGCTTTGTTCTAAAAAATAACATAAATCTATGGTAAGTTTTGTTGAAAAATGTATGTACATATTTCATGATTAACGTTAATGTTTATTATTATAAGTGTCCATAAAGTCAGTAATTTAAATTTTTATTTCATATGTAAAAAAACTTTATCTATTTAAATTATCGTAGTAGTTGTAGTACATATATTCGGATATTGATTGTCAATACAGCAAATAAATTGAACAGTTCTTAGGCTTAGCTTGAGCTTCAAACAATAAAGAGTATAGATAAGGCCGTACACGCACTGTGTCTTTAAAAGCTGCCTTGATCGGAGTAGGTACTTGAGATAATTAAGCCGTTAAATCGGTTGGCAACCCTTTTACACTGTGAGAAGCGCTCTCCGATCTCGTTCCAAAATGCTTTTATTTTTGTATCAATTTTAAAAGCAATATGTTAGTCGAGTGGGGTCTGTTAAAATTTTGACATATTTTATTGCTATATGATATTTTAATCTTAAAAAAGCTTGATGCAAATATTTAATTAACATATCACTGCATTCTGCTAATTCTTATTTTTTATATGAAAATTTACTTTAAATGCTAGTTATAGTATTAAAATAAATCATGTATTTCAAGAACATGTGAAAGTGTAGGAAATAAAAAGTATATAATTAAAAGTAAACTTGTACGGCGAATTAAAAACAACCTTTGCCCGAGAATGGGACAATAACCACCTATAAGCTATAAGTTAGTTGCACGCTAAAGGCAAGAAGTAATTATAAATCATTATTTTATAAAAGCCTTCCTTATTGGTTTCCAACCCGTTACGCAAGTTTCGAAGTATTTTCGAAGCCATATAAAATTGAGCACAGCATGCGTGCAAACCTATACATTAAGAATCGACATGCAATGAAGTCTTCGATACATAAGCAATGAAATAATGTGGTTAGGGTTGTCGACTTTTATGTTAAAAAAACCAGATTGTACATTTTGATTTATGTTCTTACGAGTAAATGAGCTGCGGTTTTGGGTCTGAAATGTTCTTGTTTTAAGGTAGTCATTTTTATAATTGGTAGCCCTGAAGCACGTGATCGAGTTTTCACGACTCGCGGCTATTGGCCTCGTATTCGGCTTACTCGCGAATCGATTTCTTGGTAACCAATTCGATCATTTTAAGTAAGGAGGAGATTCGCTGTACACTCATTATTTTCGTATCTTTTGACCTTTTCATAAAAGTTACTGCATAATAATCAATTTTTTTTCTCAAAATTGGCTGGACACGTTTAGGTATGGTATAATTTTCTAATTGAACATGAACCCAAATTACAAGATACCTTATAGTATTTTTGAATTCGATTGAAGCTAACTTTACAAGTGATATTAATTCAACGTATGGCATTTATCAACATTGACAGTTGAACGAAATGAAGCTGTCTTCAGAGGCAATTGTACCGTCATTTAAACTAAGCTATGGTAGACAACGATTTCCATTCAAAGATCAAAAACCCTAAGCGACTTCCTTTTCGTTTATTTAGATGAAATGATTACTTAACTACAAAGTCCTTACCATATGTAGTCTTTTTAATTATACTTGGTCAATCTTAGTTCTTATATAAAATTATTGTATTTGTTACAGGAGCAAATGGCCTTAGAAGACGGGGGAGACAGACATACACTAGATATCAAACGCTAGAGTTAGAGAAGGAGTTCCACACGAATCACTACCTCACGCGGAGGAGACGCATCGAGATGGCGCATGCTCTCTGTCTCACGGAACGACAAATCAAAATTTGGTTCCAAAATCGAAGGATGAAATTAAAGAAAGAAATACAAGCGATAAAGGAGTTAAATGAACAAGAGAAACAGGCGCAAGCGCAGAAAGCAGCAGCGGCGGCGGCGGCGGCCGCGGCGGCTGCCCAGGGCCATCCCGAGCACTAGGCTAGTTAGTGGATAGGCACAGTGCATACCAGTGATACGATTGCAGTTTACCGAACAATCTCTAGAGCCTTGTGTTTGTAAATTGTAATTATTTTCGTTATTTAAGTGTTGTTCGGTTGTTGTGATTATTTTTTTAATTAATTAATTTGAATTAGACTCATGTTTTTCTAAGAACGAAGGAACAATAAACTGTTTAATGTTAGAATAGAAACGGGTCGTATTATTTTGTGTTTCTGGTTTTGTTTTTGTTGATTTATTGAATTTTTACATATTTTAATTCGCGCTTTCGTGGTAAATGTTCGCGTTTGGAAACCAGTGCAATTTTTAGAAATCTCTTCCGTGTAACATAGTGTAGGTGTATTGTAGTTGGTTTTTCACGATGTGCTACCGTAGCGCGTCAAGGCAGCGTCGGCGATGGACTCTTACATTGTACAAATTTAGTATGCCTACCAAAGAGACTCGGTCTCGTAACCTTAACGCTAAGCAAACAGTCATAAGTTAAATCGTTTATCTGCAATCTAAATCGGACTGACGTCTAACAGAATAACCGCGCCATCTACTTAATCCTTCAATACTCTCGCATAAGTATAGTATAAACGTGGTCGTGTTCCTCCAGTTTTAATAGTCGGTGAAGTTTAACAAATTGCCATAAATTTAAGTAGGTATTATTTTAGCGTAGCCGTGTAAATAGTTAGGGTTATATCTATGATAATGGAAGTGAGCAGTTTGTGATTGCGCTGGCGCCGAGGAATGAGCAGAAAAAGTTCCAAGGGAGTGCGGGCGAATGCGTGGCGAGAGCGGGTCGAGTCGAGGGGAGCGGGCGCCGCCGGCCACCGGACAGGACTAGGTAAGTTTTTGTCAATGTCCGCGGCATTATTTATCGAGTGGAGACGGTTGCGAAAAACTGACTCGTCGTCACCAGCCGATGCGCGACGCCATTTTTGAAATCGCCCATGCGAGACTTCTACGGCATTACTGTTTGCAATGTTTTAATATACTATGACGATACGAGAGCGCTTTGATCTTCCCGACCGTCACCGCTTATCAAATTGTAGACAGTGCTGCACTGTTCCTCGAGACGTAATTTATTTTTAAAATATTTAATTTAAAACATCGTATCTAATCTTGAAATCTGGTATTTAAAAAATATTCAAGCGTACCAAGAAATTATGAAAATTATCCTAAATTTCATATACGAATTTAATTTTCTTTGAAGAAATACATAATTTTGGAGTTTCATTATTGAATTATTATAAATTTACTTTTAAGAATTAAAAGATCTTATTTAAAGTTATATTTAGTTAAGAAGAATATTATAATATTATTTGACTAATTATAAAGATGATATATATTTCAAAATGCTTATCGTTAAATTTTTTATAAATACAGTCATAGACTTTTACTGAATTTAAACCTTCAGCTTTAAGACTTTGAAATGAGCTATAGCTGAGTAAGTCGAGATGTCAACATTTTAAATTAATTTTATGATTTATTTATAGAAAATTATACTAATGAAAAACTTGATTAACAGTAATATATGCCTCATTAGATGTAGAATACGGTAACCATTTACATATCTATATTTCTAGATATAAAAAACAGATACGTTAAATAACAGTTTAAAATGTAAATAGACAAAATGAAGTCATAGATTTTGAAGATAAAACCCAATGTAAGGTTGAATCGCATGAATTATACAAACGATCTGAATATATTTTTAACACAATTTATAAGGCGAACGCGTGCAAGAAGTGAAAAATGCATGGTGTGCAATATTTTTGTCGTCTGTATTCAGCCGCCATTTTTCTGTCTTCGGCCGAAATCAATTCAACGATAACAGATAATTATTCGCTTCGATAAGAAAAATTATTGGTTTTTGTGATGGCGACTTATTGGGAAGGCGAATTTTTTAAACGGCTCAATTTTGCGAGGAATCGAAAGTTTTAGTTTTATTTCGTTTGAGTCATATTAAGCTCTATGAAAGTAGTAACTCAAAATAATAGCTTGGGTCGATAAGGCTTTAAATTAATTATGTCAGTATTTTCTTGAATAAAACATTAACGAGCTCGGTAGTCAATGAGCGATTAAGAATAATGACTAGTTCCGCGCAATGTTTCTCACTTAATTAAAACATACCGAAACATTAACGTTGAAAGACAGATGCAGGAGCAAAAACACAATATATTCCTTGATAATTCGACCATTTGAGGTCGCGACGCAATGATGACGGTATATCTTAACGAAGTGCCGCTTTTAATTTTTTTCAAAGCTCTCGCAGTCGTAAGTTACTTTTTCAGTAATAATTATGATCATAACTTAGCATAATCGTCTTATATACTTCACCCGATAGACACATTTCAAAGTTTTTCTTATTGATTAGGCGAAGAGTATCGAACCGGTTCTGTGCCATTAAAAGTTACTTTTATTGCGTTCTTTCAACCAGTTTCAGACACCTGTAGTTACGCATTGAAAATAAAATTTAGACCGTAGATAATTGTGTCCAGCTTCAAGACAGACAAAATTTTCATATAATCGCCAATATTATAATACATTGGAGAATGTTTTCGAGTTAATTAGACGAAAACTTGAATAATGCATGACTGATTAATCAGTACTGGCCAGGAGGTTTTGTTTTATTTGGCAAATTAATTGGTATTCAGCGGCGGTTTCTTATTAAAATATTGCAATTTTATAAGGCTCCCGGAGACCTGTTTGGTGAAAATAAAAAGAGTGTTGTAGATGGCGCGACGCGGGCGGGGGTGTGCCCATCGACCGCCCGTCGATGGTGCATATATCATTATGTACACGATGCCGACCCGGCAGCTGAGCAAGATGAGAGATCTTTCTTATGTGAAGTCACCACGACGCAAGCCAACTTGCTTATTTATTATATGCGATACCCGCGAGGTTAATCAACTTTAAAGAAAGGCTAACTTTTCAGAAAATTTAAATAAGTTGATCACTGCATATATGAAAGTGTAATCAGACTTGGACTTATGATAGCTATAAACAAACCTATATGTGGCAAAGATTTTTTATACTACATACTTCCATTTTTCTTTAGAATTAGCAACATTGTAACGTATGTATCTACCTACTCGTAGGTGCTGTATCGTATAATTAATGCTTTGAATCATTAACATTACCTCTGTTATATTAATTAAACATTTTATAGAACTGCATTCACTTTTACACTTGTTTATTTTTATTTCCACATATTTATCTTTTTTAATGCTTTTTGTAAGACGTTATATTTAGTTTTATTTATATTATATGAAATGTATATGAAACTGAAGCTGTAAGAATACATTCCTCATAGCATATATTTATACCAATACGGGACCCTGCCATATAAAGCAGTGCGGGTCGGTACACTCGTGTCGATACTATCTCGTCACCCAGCTTGCCCCGCGCACGACTAACATGTCCCATAGGTTACTCACCCGCAACTGAAGCCTTTAATCGATAACGATTTATTTAATTAACTGTACACGAGCACAATTCTACCTTCTAAGGTAATAGAATAATGCTTAAAGGAAAATTGTTGGTACTTAGCTATGAGCCTTCACTATTTTATTCTTTCACTGAAAGACTTATTTTATTCATTTATATTTTACTGATTAATCTTAGTATTCTAATATTTCATTATAGCTTCTTCTTTAATAGAATAGACTAATATTACTTATGTAACAATAAACAATGATGTCTGATTTTACTCAAATTGCCTTTTATTTAGCAATTTATATTTTCCGTTGTAGATAAACCCTAAAATAGAATAGGTAAGCAGGAATAAAACAAGTAGTCACTTACTGGAAAATTCAATACATTATTTGAATATGAAATGAACTTCCATTGAATTATAATTCATATATCACCAAATCATGCACATAAAACAATACCATCCTATTTTACTATCAGCACAGATCATAAACCAAAAGTGCTTAACCGCCCCATAGAGTAATCGAGTTAACCCCTACAAAATCACGCAATAACCGATACGAAATATCGTTTTCCATGACAGCTATTAATTGTGAGGCAATGAGGCTTCGCATACTTGAGGCCATAAACAAACGCTATCTAACCGAACTGCCTACTTAATAGTCCTTTAGTATAATTGCCGCAATCAATAAGTACCTACGTTACATACTGCAGACATTGTACTTCACACTGATACGTAAAAGGGTACTGTTGTATGTTGATAGCCTTAGACTTGAATAGGCTAAATCATGAGCACATTTATTGCACTGAATAAGATTCGATAATCTCAAGATTTTTTTTAAAGTGAAATGTACTTATATGAAGTTAAAGTTCTTACGAGGTGTTAATATGTTCTACTTCATTCGATACCTCTATGAATAAAAACTCACGTTTCGTTAATTTTTACTATTACAACTATGTATGTATATATATGAATTTCACTTTCATATAAATAGATAGGTATATTATTTGAGAAAAAATATATATTTTAAATATTTATTATTTACTATTATTATTAATTAGGTTAAAAGCTATATTTTATGACATGCGTTTTCCTTTTTTAAGCACCAATAAACTAAAAGTGTATTAAGAATAAACAAATTACCAAAAAAAGATACCTCCTCCTTTTTGGAAGTTGGTTAAATAGTACCTTCCTATCTTAAACGTCAGTAAAGTTGTTGTTAGAGAAAAATAATCATTTTTATTAAGTTTTAAATAATTTGTAACGGGTTGAAGATTCTTAATTGTATGTAACTATAGAAGTAATGTTACTAGCTGTCCGCCCGCAACTGCGCCCACGTGGCTTCTGATCTACGATACAAACTAGTTAATAAAAGCGAAACGTTCTTGATAACATTATTTATGTTTCTATTCAAACAAATAAGTTAAAGTTAAAAACCTTTACATATTATGTAGATACATTGGAGTTTAATTTTTTTTTATAAAAATATAAGTACAAATAGCTAGGTAGGTAAGTACATAATATTTTTCGTTATGTTATAAAAATCTAATTGTAAATA